TTTTTTTTGTCTGTGTTTTGAATCTCAGTCTATATGGCTCCTTGAGGGCAGAAATCTGGCTGGTTACAATCAGAGGGAAATAGTGGTTCAGGACATTGCAGTTTAATTCATTTCATGCTGAACATCAAGGAAGATGAGATATACCACATGGAACGCGGTGGCACCAGAGCAGACATGTAGGGTTTTCTCCAGGACTTGTGAGTCTGACTTTGGCAACTGGGGAGATCGTGTGTCATTCACTGAAATGGAGGATGCAGGTAGGAGGAGCAGGTACTGTGGTGAGGCATGTTCATTTGGAGGCTGGTGGAATGTGAGGTGCAGTAGATCATCCAAGTAGAAAGGTCCAATGTATAGTTAAATAACAGGGTCACTCTCAGGGCTGAGGAGGGAGAAGTCAGATCTGGAGGTGACTGATGGTGGCGCTCCCAAATCTGTAAACCATGAACTTTGGCTGTGGCTATTCAAGGACCTTGCGCAGACCAGAAGAGCTCGGAGACAGGATGGCGCCCTGGGAAAGAAGAACAGGGGAAGGAGCTCCAGGAAAAGAGACTGAGAAGGAGAAGCCAGGGAAGCAGAAGTGAAACCAAGAATTGTTTTTTTTTTTTTAAAGCCAGTGGAGTGCAGAGTTTCAAAGAAGTCAGCAAAGTCAAATACTAAGGATTGCCAGTAAGATCAAACCTAGGACTGTCCTTTGGACTTGGCCACACAAAGGTCAAAGGCGATTTTGGGGAGAGCATTTCAGGGGTGGGCCAAAGAGGAGCTAGATGGCAGGGAGTACAGAAAGGGGATGAGGACAAGGACACAGATCACTGTAGTTCACAGGACTGGTGATGGGGGAGGGGTGGGGAAAGCTGAGCATCCTTACTTGGGAAAGGGAAGAACCATGGTGAGGGAGGGGAAGGTAAAACAAAGAGGACAATGGATGCGGGACCGTGGAAGATGAGAGGATGCAGGCTGAGTGCCCCGCCTCTGTGGAGACTTGTAAGTAATGGAGAAAGCTGAAGAAGTTATTTTCCTCTGTGAAGTAGGAGGTAGAGACATCTGCATAGGGTAGAGTGGGAGGTGGTGGGAAGGAGTTGAGGAAAGAGGTGAAAGTTAGGAATGTCACTGAAAGGAAGTGGAATGAAAGTGAGCAGAGATTCACAGCATTGCCTCAAAGTGTGACAGTCCTGCCGAGGTGGGAGACCGTGAATTCCCAGCTCCTCTATGCAACATGGGGGCTTTCCTGGTGGCTCAGACAGTAAAGAATATGCCTCAAATGTGGGAGACCCGGGTTCAATCCCTGGGTCAGGAAGATCCCCTGGAGAAGGGCATGGCAACCCACTCCAGTATTCCTGCCTGGAGAATCCCATGGACAGAGAAGCCTGGTGGGCTACGGTCCATGGGATCACAAAGAGTCAGACATGACTAAGCAACACACACACATACGCACACACTACACAACACGGTCATGAGGCTTTCTCCTTCTTCATGGACAGTTTACCACATGGCAGGGCAGGCTTCCCCAGCATCAGAGTATTGCTGGGCAGAGCGATTTAATAGCAGACCACAGGCTCTGGGCTGGGATGAGAAGTGAGGGCCCACACAAAGGAGCTGCGTGAGCAGGAGAGACGGAGGAGTTTGTAATGTGCACTGGGAGTGGAGGAGCTGAAGGATACAGGCAGTCAGATGCCGGATTGTGGCCTTGCAGAGGTGACCCTCCCAGTGACAGTGGGCACCCACGGGAGCGTGCTGGTTTGTGGAGAGGTGAACACCCTCAGAAGTGAGGAGGCCATGGGAGGACAAAGCTAGGGCATCAGACTTCTCAGACACTGGGCCGATGGTGGGAGAAGGGAGAAGATAGTAGGCCAGGCACTCAAGTCCCCGGTGAGTGCAGGGAAGAAAAACAGGAAATCCAGGAGAAGAGATGGATTATCTGAGTGGATGGGAGAAAAGATGTCTGGAAGCAGACCCGGCCTCTCAGACATGCATAATGGGATCTTGGGAGAGGGGAGACCTCATTTGCAGGGGAGAAAATTCTTGAATAGCACTTTGAAACCTCTCTTAAAGATCAGCAGTGGAGGTGGGGGTGGAGACACTGAGGATTGGTCACAGCAGGAGGGGGCATCAGCCCTTTGGTCGGGGTGAAAGGTGGCAGAACAGGAAAACTGGGATCCTAGCCAGCCTCAAGGGATTAAGGCTGGTTTCTGTGTCCTGGGGGTTGGGGATCGAGGCCAGATGCCACTTGCTGTCTGAGGCTCCAGGGTCCAGAAAGACCCTGGTGAGAGGCTGACTGGTACTTAGACAGGCTCTTCCTGTGTGGAGGCAGGTACACAGACCCTGGGGGGTGGGGGTGGGGGGTCGTGTGCTATTTCCCCCTGGACTATTCCTCCTTAAGCGGAAAACTGATATTATCTCTGCATCTTTCCTCTAAGCTTAAGCACCTACTTGTAAATGTTTTTTCAGCCAGCCATGCCTCATGGTTTGGTCTTATTTCCCCATCAGCGATGGAACCCAGGCTGCCTACAGTGTAAGTGCTGGGTCCTAACCACTGGACTGCCAGGGAATTCCTAGAAATCTGTTTTTGAGAAGGAAGAAGGGGAGGAAGAGGATTGTCACAACAGAGAAGACTGGTTAAGTCAGAAGAGGAAAGGCGTGTTGATCGGCATCAGAGTCCAGCACTGGCCTCGAGCTCCCTGGGTCCCTCACCCATCTCCCTCCCTGGAGGAAAGCTCACCTTATCCGCTAACCTTCAATTCCTGCAGTCTTTAATACTTAGGCTCATTAATATTTACTTCTGTGAAAAGCCAGGAAGATGGGAGGCTATGAAGCCTGTGCCAACAGGAGAGGCATGGGGTGGGAATAAAAAAAAATTTTTTTACTCAGTACTTTTCCTTATGTGTGCCCGCCTTTCTGGTGTGTGTTAGGAATGAGAGTTTGGCTTCTGTTTGGAAAAGCAAACAGTCAAGGTCCTAAGTACCCAGCCATCAGCTGAACACAAAGTCCCTGTGACCTGCCTCAGTCCCACCCATTGCCCCAACTTGCAGCTGAAACTCAGATCCCTAGAGGTGTGCAAATGGAGGTGGGGCTCTACCCTGCCAGTCAGATTCAGTTTTCTTCACTTTGGTTCTCACCTACCCAGCCAATTCTGTAAGAAAACAGTTTTCTGTCTTTACTTTTACCACCAATCTTGGTAAAGCATCAGAAAAGAGACAAGTCACACACTTTTCAGAAATCACAATTTTATAAAAAGGCATTTTTCTCTTATATCCATAAAATGATATAATTTTTGCAAGTATAGAAATGTGTCATAAATTATACAGAATGTTCCTTAATTACAGCTCAATGCAACTTGATACTTTCCTCCCTCCCTAAAAAATGAGAGAGAACCAAAAAAATAATATATATAACTGTATATATATATATATTTATATTTATATAATATAGACAAACCAAATATGAAAAAAAATCATTTCCTCTTTGGTATAAAAATCAGACTCTCACCTTGAGAGACACACAAACAGACATGATGTTGAATTTGTAAACCGTGTGGCCAAAAGGAATTTCCCTGTCAAGCTTTCCCCACCCCTGTCCCCTGCCCACCCCACCCGCCTCACCATAACACCTCCAATTCCCATGGGACTACCACATCCCTCACTCCCAGCTCCACCCCATTCCTGAGTAACCCCTCCACTACCAAAGACAAGGAAAAAGTTCTGCCCAAGGTGATTTGGGGGCAACTAACTTGGGAGACACCTAACTAGGGGAAGAGCTCGTAGGTGTGGACTGTGGAGAGGAAAGACTGCCGAGCCGGGGCTCTGCTGTCGAGACCGGGCCCGGCACCGAGTCTCCTCTGCCTTCCCCCACCACCTCCTGCCAGATGCCGGGCCTGAAGCGGGTGGGACCCCTGTTGCCAGAAGCAGCAGCAGAGGTGGGCTTCCCTTCAGCCTCACCTCCCGGTGCTCAGCTTCCCGTCCCGGGCCGCCTCAGGTGCCGAAAGACACCAACGAGGAGGGAGAAGGGAAGTCAGAATGGACTCTGCCCATGAACTTGGGTCTAAATTTGCAATTACAGAAAATGTTTTCAGGACGACTTATCACACCCAGCTTTGGGTCACTGAGAAGGACGGGGCCACTCTCCCAGGCTCCAGTCCGGTACCAGCAGGACTTACGGAACCCAGGAGTTAGCTGTGTGGGGCGGGAGGGAGTGGGGGAGGGGGCAGCACATCACTCTCAAGGTGAGGAAGGAGACAGGACCAAACAGCCCTGTATATTCTCCCAACACCCTCTGGCTGATGGGCAGCTCCCTCCCGGGTCAGCCTCGGGGTCCCGCAAGGGCACCAGCTGCTGAAGGGCTCCCCGCAAGCTGCTCCCCTTCCAGCCAGGCTGGGGTACAGCCGGGGCTGCCGGCCCCCTCTTCCCCCGGAGAGTTAAGACACCAACATAACATAAAAGTCACACAAAGGCCGCCTCCACTTGCCAAATAAAAAAAAAGACGAAACCAAACTGGACACAAACACAAATCAAAGAGAGACGCACACCCTGTGAGGGGCCCAGGCCCCGCAGGTCTCTGGCTTCCCGGCATGATACATTCTTGTGTAATTCAGGAACGGGGCCCTGGGGCCCCTCTGGGGAGCGGGAGTAAAAAAATACAGAGATTACGGTCTCCCTGTGGGCTCCCAGGCAGGGCAGGGCAGACACCATCTCTCACAGTTTTTCTACTGCTTTTGGGTCCACATCTGAGCCCCTAGTGGGGGCTGGTGGCCAATGCCCCAACCCCACTCTGCGCTTGGGGCCCGCCCCCTCTGCCCTCCCAGCTGCTCAGAGGGCCCTGGGCTGGGGATGCCCCAGCCGCTCCTAGCAGGACCAGCAGGACAGAGTCTACCAGGAGAGAAGGGATGAGGACCTAGGCGAGGAATGAGGACCCGCAGCTCTGAGACAGACGCTGTCCTCTGGGCGGCCGGCAGGCCAGCCCCGCGTGAGCTGACTGATCACCGGCACGGAGCGTCTGCTTTCTGGCCTTCACCCCTTGAGGGGCTTGTCGGCCCCTCCGCTGGGGCTGCTGGCGCTATCACTCTTCTTCCTGCGGAGGCTCTCAATCCAGCTGGAGCTGGAGCGGGTGGTGAAGGTGGAGAGCGCCAGGGAGCTGAGCCGCATGTTCTTGCCAGACATGATGAGCTCCCCGAAGCCCTCCTGGTGGGAGAAGGCGTAGCCAGAGCGCCGGGACCCAGTGCGGCCCACCCGCCTCATGCAGCGGTGCTGGGCCTTCTGCTTCTTCCTCACCAGCTGGGTGTAGCGGACCTGGCAAGAGTGGGACAGCATGAGGGAACGAGCCTCTGTCAGCGAGCGAGCATCAGACACTACCTCTGAGAAGGGACCCAGAGCACCGAGGACTGGGCAGGCCCGGGAACCTCCCAGACAGCACAGGCCTCACCACCCACACACTTGACAGAAACTGCAGCAGTGTTTAAGCCCGAGGACCTTGGGACGCACCATCTCCGATCCCCAAAGCAGAGAGCCCGGCCTCTCACCGTGTCCGAGAGATCCGGCTTCAGGTTCAGCCTGAGAAACCGAAAGGCGACCACAGGCATGATGCAGACGACCGTGGTGAGCACGATGGTCAGCCATACCGTCGGCTGGGCCAGGGTGTTCTGGGCATTACCTGGGAAAAGAGGGGCCGGGGGCTTCAGGAGTCACAGAGCAGGCATAAGGCCAGCCCCTTAGAGCTCCCCATTTCCTTTTTTGGCAGCCCCACTTTCCCAGTCTCAAAACTTAAGTCATCTCTGGCCTCTTTCTGCTCCCCAAATGTTTATCTCCAAATTGGATTCCAGCTCCAAACTCTCCCCAAACGACTTCAGATCTGCTTTTGTTTTTGTGGGGTTTTTCTGGCTGTGCTGCACAGCATACAAGATCTTAGTCCCCCAACCAGGGATGGAGTCCATACCCCTTGCAGTGGAAGTTCGGAGTCTTAAACCACTGGACCATCAGGGATGTCCCCAGACCTGTTTTTTTAACTGCCTTAACCTGATATCTCTGCTCATCTCAGTTTCACAAAGCTCAAAGTAAACTACTGTTTCCTCTGTTCCCAATTTTCTCCACGTCTTCCCTGGCTCAGGAGACGTTTCCACCCACTAAGCTGCTCCAAGTAAAAGCTCTGAAGTCAACCTGGTTCCCACCCCCACCATCTCAGGCCCCCATCCAATCTGTCAGCTCCATTTCCAAAATACCTACGGGATTCCACCACTTTTACTCTGCTCCAAGCCACCATCATTCTCACCTGCTACATTACTGCTACAGTCTCCTAGCTAGTCTCCCCAGGTTTCCACGTCTGTCCTCTTTTTTAAATTTATTTGGCTGTGCCGAATCTCAGTTGGGGCATGCAGCATCTAGTTCCCTGATCAGGGATAGAACCCGAGCCCCCCACATTCGGAGCTCAGAGTCTGAGCCACTGGACCACCAGGGAAGTCTCTGTGCTCTACTTTTCATCATCCACAGAACAGGAAGAGTGAGCCTTTAAAAACATAAATCAGTTTATGACATTTCCCTGCTCAAAACCCTCTAAAATCCAAAGTTCTGGGCTTCCCTGGTGGCTCAGTGGTAAGGAATCTGCCTGCCAATCCAGGAGATATGGGTTTGATCCCTGATCCTGGAAGATCCCACATGCCTCGGAGCAACGAAGCCCATGCGCCCCAACAACTGAGCCTGTGCTCTAGAGACTGGGAGCCTGTGCTCTGCAACAAGAGAAGCCGATGCACTGCAACCAGAGAGTAGCCCCCACTCATCACAACTAGAGAAAGCCTGTGATTAACAATGAAGACCCAGCACAACCAAAAATAAAAATTACAAGTAAAAAAAACCCCTTAATTCTTAGCCTTGACTTATAAAAGATCTGGACTGATTTTCATCCCTAACCCTCTGCCTCAGCCCTACCTTCCAACCTCATTTCCTCCATTCCTCTCCAGCCCCTCTGCCACTCATGACCTCTCCGCAATCCCGCAAATGAGGTATCTGTATCACTGTTTCTCTTCTTGTACCAGTCCTTCCCAGAGAGGCCAGGGACTAGATACACCTAGATCCCCATGGCATCATCCAGAATACGTGACACATAAGGAGTGTTGAATAAATGCCAACCTTCCCTGTTAGTCCCAGAATGATTGTGATCCTTCACTGACTCAAGGGAAAGCCAGAGGGACTCACCCACAAACCGGAATTGGTTTGGAAACATGTCGAAGAGCCCATTGCTGTGCATGGCAAAGAGGATGGCAAAGTAAACCGCCAGGCTGCCCCAGATGAAGAAGTGGTTGATGGCTGTCCAGTAGCCAGTATCCAGTCCAATCTGCAAAAAGCAGTCGTCACAGGCAGAAGGAGCATCCCCCCAAACCCTGTCCCCCTCCCAGGAACAGAACTGCAGTGCCCAGGGCACCCCAGTGACAGGAGACTCACTCTTTCTGGGAGTGGGGGCAGTTCCCGGACCACCTCCTACCTGCACACTGACCACGATGACCAGTGAGGTGGCCACGGTGACTGCAAAGGACTGGTAGTCAGCTAGCTGGGTGCCGTCATCCCGAGTGGCTTCAGCGAACACCCCATAGGGGATGAAGAACATGAGCACGGACGTGTAGATGCCCTGGGCGATGCAGATGAAGAACTCCCGCTTGTTGAAGAGGAGGTTCAGCTGGCCTGGCTCGTAGAGCTTAGGGTACTCCATGCTCCGCTGCTCCGGCACGTCCTGTGCGCAGGGCCAGCAGCACAGGAGGCTCAGGAGCTGCCCCCTCAGGGGGACGAGGGCAGACTCTGTCCCTGCCTCCTTTTTACATTCTTTGGCAGCCAGACTCAACCTCAAGCCCCAAGTCAATCTTTGTTCAGCAACCCAGGGGAGTTAAGGTCAGGAGTGGCTGAGAGGGAGGGCCAGTCAGCCACACGCTGCCAGCTCACGGGACTGCCTTCCCAGGGGCCACAGGCAGTAGGGACAAGTGCCACATGCCCACCACTATTGGGTGACCCCCTCTCAGCAATGCCCCTCTTCCCAACCCACTTGGTCACCCAGCTCCCCCATACCTGATCGAAGACCCCCATAGCCAGGACTGGGAGGGAGGTGTACACGATATTATAAAGGGTGATGAAGTACTGGTCATAGACTGTCTGTAAAGAGAAAGGGAGCAAGAAAGGGGTGAACACGCAGTCTCTCTTCACTACAAATCAGGCAGAGGAAGACAGCCAACGTGGTACAGGTGGAGGCCTAAGGAATTTTCTGGAACTTGCTCTCCACTCCTTCAACAAGTCTTTTTTTTTTTTTTAATGCATGCATCAGACAACAGCTAGACCCTAAGGGGACCAAGCAACGAACAGGACAGACACAATCTCCGTCCCCAAGGAGCTTAAGGACAGGCATGCCATGGGACTGGGGAACTCGTTACCTGGGCTGAGAAGCCGCAGAAGAAGCCAAACCAGAAATGGACCATGGTGAAAGCAAAGTTCTTGTAGAAGAAATAGCAGAGGAACTTGCACATTCGCAGGTAAGACCAGCGTCCATGCACCAGCAGAAGGCGCTGCAGGAACTTGAACTGGGAGAAGGAGTAGTCAGAGGCCAGCACCGCCTGGATCCCTTCCTGCCCGCTGATGCCCACGCCAATGTGAGCCGCTGCAGAGACAAGAGACGACAGGAAGATGAAGACGGCCACACACTTCAGATTCCCACAATGTTCTGTCTGCACCTTCTGTCATCACTCCTCCCTGGGTCTCTCTCCCTGCCCGAGGGCCCAAGCCACCACACGGGCACAGTCCACACTCACTTTTGATCATGCTGACGTCATTGGCTCCATCCCCGATGGCCAGGGTCACAGCCTTCTTGTACTTCTTAACCAGTTCCACCACCTGTGCCTTCTGCAAGGGAGTCACCCGGCAGCAGATGACAGCTTTGCAGGCACAGGCCGTCTCCAGAAACTCCAGCTCCATGTCTGCCTCTAATGCGTGGGCCTTTAAGACAGATCACACTGAGCAAACTCCATGTGCTCCAGGAGAGCACATGGGATCAATACCTTTAAGACCACAGCCCCAGTGAAGTCCAGGGAACGGGAACAAGGTAAGACATAACAGCTGCTCTCTGAAAAGATCCTGCCCAAGCTAAGGGTGGCAACACTCACCAGGCTGTGCCCGTTGATAACTAGGGCATACTCCCCAGCCACAGCTTCCAGGACAGAGGTGAGCCTGGAAGAAGAAAGTTTCTCCTGGTAGGTGAAGCCATTGCCCACAGCACGGGATGAATCCATCATCTTCTCCCGGGCTTTCCTGTGAAGGGGAAACGAGACCATGGTCAGCCAGGACAGGAGCAGGATTCAAGCCCATTCAGCAAACCTGTGCATGACCCCTAGGTATGGTGCAGAGCATCCAGGTCTGTTTACCTGAGCTCCTCTCGCACTTCCAGGACCGTGTGGCCAGTGACGATGAACACCTCTGTCATGTCGTCCGTCAGCATCTTGCAGGAATAGCCAATGTTCACGGCCGTCTCTACCAAAAGAAAGTGCAGGCGCTCTAGACGGGCCCCTGACAAAGTCAGTGCACTTGCCAGCCCAGTGTTCTAGGCTTGCCAGGACCCCATGGGGCTGTATCCAGATGCAGTCTCCTCTGCCCTACAGGCTTCTCACCTTGCTTGTCTCCAGTCAGCACCCAGATCTTGATGTTGGCCAGCGTCAGGAGGGCAATGGTCTCCGGAACCCCTTGCTGAAGCTTGTCCTCAATGGCTGTGGCACCCAGCAGCTGAAAATAACCACAAGGGTCCCTAGCACAAGAGTCTAGGCCCAGGCCCTCCTCACCCACCCTTGGCCCACTCTGCAGACCATACCATCATGTCGCTCTCAACCTCTTCGTAGACACTGGCCAGCCGGTCCTCCCGGCTGTCCTGGGCCAGGCTGGCTTGGAGCCGTCTCCCGGCCCACTCCTCGTAGTATTCTTCATCCAGATCCTTGTAGGCCAGGACCAGGGTTCTCAGCCCTTCGCCCGCATACTCCTGAAGGAGGAAGAAGTCAAGAGAGTCAGTCCCCAGTCCCCTACCACCACACTGAGAGTAGCAGAACCACAGGGCCTCCCTTCCTCATGCCTACATTCAGATGGTCAGTGGTGGTGTTGAGCAGCTCTTGGGTAGAATGATGGAGTCTGTCCAGCAAGATGGTGTCAGCCCCTTTGCAGTATAGTCTTATCTTCCCCTCTGGATTCCGCACTGTCAGTGGGGCAGGGGGAAAATGTCCCAGGAAAGAATGGGATATTCAGATAAGTAAAGGCCCTGAATTGCAACACACCAAGGTCACCCAGTACACCTCACCCATCCCAGGCCTGCAGGCTGCCCCCGAATGCCCCCGGCAGCCCGATCCCGGCCTCACCTATGACCGACATCCGTTTGCGGATGTTGTTGAAGTCCAGGATGGCCAGCAGTTGGTAGGTGATGGCGGTGCCCATCTCGTGGACAGTGATGGTTTTGGGGGTACGAGAGCGGAATACAAAACCAAAGTTCCTGGCTGCAGTGACCAAGGCCCCCTCATCCGGCGACTGGGCTTTGTAGTAGAGCTCCCCTGGGCGCGGAGAAGGAACATGCGTGGTGTTAGTGGCCCCACTCTCAGCCACCAGCTGCGTGTTCCTACCCAGGAAACCCCAGGTGGCCAGGCCACAGGCAGAGCACAGCTCAACCTGAGAGTCCAAGTCGGGTAGGGGAAGCGCAGGCCAGCACCTCGGCTCACCTTCGCTTTTCTCTTCTGACATGACGGTGTGACACAGAGAGAGGAGGCGGAAGAACTCGTGGGTGTGGGGGTCCCCCATCTTGACAGCCTCCAAGAGAGTGGGGTCCCAAAATAAGAACTTCTTGTCAGCCAGAGGATTAAAGGAGAAGTCGACGGGTTCGGGCCTCTGGAGCAGGTAAGAGGACAATCAGGAAAGGGCGGGTCCCCAGGCTGCTTCCTGGGGAGGGGCGGGGTGGTCCCCACCAGGATCCTGTCCACTGCTAACCTCAAGATTCCCACCTGCGCCACCAAGTCTTCCTTACCACACCCATCTCCTCCAAGCAGCTTCCACACTCTAGCCAGACAACACGTCACCCCTGACTATGCCAACCCTGGCCAGGCACCCTGTGTTTAACTAGCACCGAGAACCAGTATGGAGGCTGGACCTTACCTCTCCCAATTCAGCTTTGTGTCCCAGGACATCAAACACGTCACCTACACACGGCCAGGAGAGAAGGAGGAGCAGTGTCAGAGCCGGGGGAGGAGCCGCCAGCACCGAACCCCCGGGCAGCTGGGACCCGCGACCCTTGTGGCTGAGTGAGCGTCACCCAGATTCAGCAGGGCTGGCTAGGAGGAGGGGAGGCACAGGCACCGTGGGTCCTGAGAACGCCAGGACTCAAAGCCGTGGCACTCTCGGCTCCCCATCCTCACCCCGGCTCCTGCTCTGCCCACAGGGCAGCTCAAGGCCACACCCACGCCCCGGGGCTCCAGGCCCCTTCGCTCTTAGGCCCGCACACCAGACCAAGCCTCGCACCGGGCCTCCAGGCCTGGGTTAGTACAGAAAGCAGTTAGGAGAGGGGCTCACTCGGCATAAAAGACCCCACGCACCCTGTCCCCAAGCCATCCCAGCAGCTCAGCCACGAGGCCACTGCAGTGGGGCCACACTGGGAAGGCCACGGTCACATTCCAGAGACTCACAGGGACCCTGGGCAGCAACACGGGGAGAGGCTAGCACTCTGCCAGGGCTGACAAGGTCCCACCTGGCCGGGGGCGCCCAGCGGCCAGCGTCCTGGGCGTCTGTTCAAACCGCCAAGGAGCGGCCCCACTGCCTGGAGCTGAGAGACGGCGCGGGCACCAGCAGAGGAGAGGAGGGAGCACCGTCAGGGTCTGCCTCCTGATCTGGGCGCAGAGCAGACCCTCTCAAGGCCCCACAGACCCCAGTAGGAAAGAAGTAAAGCCCAGATGTCGAGACCAGCATGGGAGCCCCGGCAGCATGGTCCTTCCAGCCCCCGGCCCCAGTGGCATGGCCATACCATAGCTGCGGCCGTTGATGGAGCACTTGTTGAAGACCATGATGTTCTGGGTGAGGGTGCCCGTCTTGTCGGAGAAGATGTACTCCACTTGGCCCAGCTCCTCGTTCAGGGTGGTGGTGCGGGCCTCAGCGGGCGTCCGCTTCTTCATGCAGAACATCTTCTTGTCCCAGTTGATGAAGTAGCTGTGGCCCAGGCGAATGACCTCCACACTGCACAGGGGACAGGAGGTGAGGCTGCGGGTGGGAAGGGCAGCAGGGCCCACCCCCACGGGCCTTCGCTGCAGGCCCTCCGCCGGGGGAGAGACGAGAAGGAGCGGAGTGGACATCTGGGCCGGGGAGGGTGGCAAGGAGAGCCTGAAGGTGGAGTCTGCCACTCCCGACCGGCCAAGGGGGTCCCCGACCCCGACCCTCTGAAGCCCTCCAGACAAAAAGGTGCAAAGGGCCTGGGCAAGCGGGACAGACAGCACAGGCAGAGGAGGACGGACTGCGGACAAGGCACTCGACCAGTTCTTACCTCTGGGCTAATAATACAGAAACCATGCAGAGAAAAGAAGAGAAAGTGCGAGAGGGAAGAAGGAGAAAAAAAAGAGAGAAATAATGAGGGTGCTGCGCGGGCCACAGCATCACAGACGCCCTGCAGGGAGAGGAAACTGAGGCAGCCCCGGAGCCCCCGCCTCCCTGCCTGAGCCCAAGCTGCCCGGCTCTGGGCTGCACAAGCCGACCTGGGGCGCTCAGGGAGCAGGCGGGGCACATTGAGATGCTGACTCCACAAGGGGATGGGGCCTCAGGAATCCGGGGAGCAACCCCAATCCACACCAGCGCGGAGCTCTCCTAAGGTCGGTTCACGTCATCCTCTTTACAAGGCAAGGCTTTCGGGACCTGGACTGTCAGCATCTCAGAAACAGCCCCACGTCTGGGTCCTGCCAGCCAAGCAATGGGGCCACATCCGGAACCCTGCTTCCCACCTGACTGGGGCTGCTGTCAGGATCCCCTTACCAGGCCAAAAATGAGCCGGCGGGAAATGCCTTCGTGGCCTGTGCCCCACTCAGCTGATCAAGCGTCCCCTCCTTGCCCTCCTCCCCAAATACACACATTGTAACCTGAGGAGATCTAGAGACTTTCTCAGACAGCTACCATGGGCTTCGCGTGAACTTGGATACAAAACCCAGAGAGCAAAATCCAAAGATGGAAAAAAAATTCAGATTGGAAACAAGAAAAGATTTAAACAGCAACAAAGAACCAGAGTCGCAGATAATGATGGACATGCTACCACCTGATATTTGTACAATAGTTTAATTTTTTAAATAGTTTTTTGACCGTGTCACTCAGCATGTGGGATCTTAGTTTTCCCAACTGACCAGAGATCAAACCTGTGACCCCTGGATTGGAAGCACTGGGTTTAACCACTGGACCACCAGGGAAGTCCCAGTAAAAATGAAATTACATTTTAATTTTTAAAATGTATTTTCCAATCTATTTCTGATACCAAGATGTTTCTATGAAGAGGATGGAACTTGTCCCATTTTACATGAGAAAACCGAGGCCCTAAGCGACTGTGGATTTGCCTGAGGTCACGTGGCTATTGAGCGGGCAGGACTAAACCCCAAGCCTTCTGAGTCTCCTCCTGATACTTCACAGAAACCCCACTGTCCACCCTCAGCACAGAGATTCCTTATCTCCTGCCCACTGTCAGCAGCACTGGGACTCGGGGGCGAGTGGGAGATCCAAGGAGCCTGTCTGGGGAATCTATGTGAACGAGAAAAAGCATAAGGGAAGAGTTCTGAGCATCCCTCTAATGTCCTACAGGTTGGGAATCCTGGTGCTTCAGTGGTTAGGACTCTGAGCTTTCACAGTTGAGGGCTGGGGTTTGATCCCTGGATGGGGAACTAAGATGCCACAAGCTGCACAGCCAAAAAAATAACAATAAAGTATACAATTTTATAAATTAAAAAAAAAGTGACAGGTTGTCTCAAGCACAAGGCACTAAATACAAAGAGACCTCTCTTCTTGCCATTCTTTCTTCCTCCAGCATTCCCCCTTCCTCTCTTTACTTCCTGTTAACATTTTCTTTCCCAAAAATACCCAAGACGTCCTCTTCCTCCTATTTATGCTGTATGCCACTGCCAGCCAACATTTCTTAAAGCATTCTTTAGATTTTTTCTTAAAGAATCTTTTAATGGTTTACTGAGTGAATGTCCACTGGCAGAGATTCAAGATCCTTCACAACAGAGAACATGCTTATGTTCCCAGCTCTCTGTCTCACAGGCCCCCACTCAGGGTCCATGCTCCTGCCGAACTGTCCCAGGACCAACCATTCCGAGGTCCCTATCTCCGTGCCTTTGTGTCCAGCCCTCTCCTCCAGGCTCACCTTCACCCCTCCCTGCCACCACTCAAAGTCCCGCTCAACAGCCATCTCTTCAGAGATGTCCTCCCTCATTAACTGCATGGGGAGTAATGCTCTTCCAATCTTCATGGCACTCTGTGCCTCTGGGGTATCTCAGTGGGATGCATCGGTGTCTTACACTGTCTGCACCTCTCCTCCTGCACCAGTCTGCTGCTTTTGAAGGCAGAGGCTATGTTATGCATCAACTGTGTCCCCTTGATTCACACATAAGCATAACACTGAAGGTAGGTTGACTGTTAACAGCACTAGTTCCCCTTCTGTTTCATAACGTATTTAGATTTAGCTCCCTCTACTAGACTGAAGCTCCTGGAGGGAAGGAAATCCATTCCTAATACATCTGTGTGCCACCGCACCTAGCCTGCTTCTTTGCATCAGCACGCGATAAGTATGTGCTATATAAATCAACATGACTTTTGTTCTAATACAATCCAAAGTGCCAAGAAACTGCAGTGAAGTCTGCTTTGCCCATGAAGATAAACAGATAGCATAAAATGTTCACAGCACAGGAAGGAGAGGACCCCAAGTTCCCTCTCGAGGATTTCACCCTCAGAGAAGAGAGCAGTCTGCCAAAGGACCACCTGAGCTCCCTGGAGACCCCGCGGCAGAGAGACGGCATACCTGACATAGAGCGATATGGGCACGACGGTGTTGAGGATGATGATGTAGGACCAGAAGGAGAGGAAGCCAGAGAAGAAGGCACTGTCCACCGCCTCATCCCAGGGCAGGTAGACCTGGAAGCGTGTCCCCACCTCATGTTCCCAAATGGCATTGCCAATGGCCAGGATCACCCCCATGCAGACCAGGAATCCAAAAATCTGCAGAGGAATGAAAAGTAGAAGCTAAGCTGCAAAACCAAGGAAGCCCTTAGAAAGTTCTCAAAACCAAGTGAATCCCTGAAGGTTACCACCAGTACCCAGAGCCCTCAAAGGCTCAGGTATCTTTAAAATAGTTGCATGCTCTAGTGGGAAGCACTCAGAACTGATCAACCGGCACGTGGCCTTCTCTCACAATGCTTTTCTCAACTTCTTTCTGAGAAAGCTGAAAGGGTTGTGCAGTTTCCACTCAGATATTCTAGAACCCTCAGGAGACCTCAAAGATGGTAAAGGTCGAGGTAAGCTACTTTCAACATACCAAAGAAGCCTACTGGAAATCACCCATTTACCAGAGCTAAGCCTCTATAAGCCAACAAAAACACGTTTCTGTAATGTTCATTATCTCATACAGATTGCCAAAAATTAAAAAAAAAACTTTTTTTGGCCATACCACGCGGCATGTGGGACCTTAGTTTCCTGCCCCCTGCAGTGGAACTGTGGAGTCTTGACCACTGGATCACCAGGGATTCCCCAACCAAAAAATATTTTTAACCAGGGACACAAATTGTGTCTTCATAAATGTAGACTTAATAGTCAAAAAACCTGCAAAGCTTGAAAAAGAATCATAAGAAAGCTTTCGTGGTTAAAAGAAAAAAAATTGAGACCACTGCGTGATTTCAGACATCTATCTTCAAAGCTGCCTCCACTCCAGATGCTTCAAAGCAAAGCAGAAACCATCCTGATGCCCAAGGACCACCAGGGGGCGATAAGAGTCTTGCCCTGATAGCCTCTCAGACTAGGTTTCTGCAAACCCTTTAAGGCCCGGGAGGAAACTGTCTCACAGGAGGCTGGCCCCAGCCTTCACAAGCTGGCATGTGGGGGGCAGGCAGTAGGCAGTGGGGGCGAAAGAAGGGGAGCAGAGCTCGACAAGGAGCTCAGATTTCTAGCAAAACAAGAGAAGAATTCAGGAACTGCCAACAACTAAAACAGAAACTTTTCCCTTGGGATCCTTTGCTCTTGGAAGTCAGGGGAAAAGACCCTGTTCTCCATCATCTAAATGGAAATTTTTCTTTTAATTCCCGCTCCATCCCCATGAAGGCCGCCTTGTCCCTGGCAAAAGCAAACAGAAAGTCACGTGCTAGACTAAGTCACCATCATAACTGGAATCCAGAGAACGGAAGATTTGTTTTAACTTTAAGTTGTTGGTTCATACATGTTCCAAAGGTTTTTTAAATAACATCTTCCAAATCCAAAAGGAGCCTGAAATAAACACTGCCTCAGAGTGGTTGACCTGCCAGTGGCTTTAAAGCTAAAACCTGAAGACTGACTACTGACCAGGGAGGAGAGATGGGAGGAACAGGACCCACCCAAGGACAACCAGAAGGGTAGAGGCAGGAACCGTTTGTGGGAAGCCTTACCCAGAGCACCAGTGTGTTCATTAGGCGATCAATACTTGTTCTCTTGAATTTTGTCCGGCCACTGTTCTGCATCAGCTTAGTGTCAGGACCTAGAAAGGCATGGGAAGGGCTGGGAAAGCCAAACAACAGATCTGCCTCTAGGCTTCTGCCCGGGTATCCAGTCTATAGGACATCGGGGTAGATGAGAGGCACGGCTCCAGGACTCGCTCAAGTCTCTCCCCACATTGCTGAAGGCCACAGAGGCACCGCTCCCGCCCTCCCCTCCGTGGCCCGGGGGCTCACCTGCAGAGGCGCCGCTCCCACCCTCCCCTCCGTGGCCCCAGGGCTCACCTGCGAAGATGACCAGCCCGAAGCACCACTCCGTGTTGCGCAGCACGCAGCCCCGCAGCAGCATGTTCTGGTTGCTCAGGGGGAACTTGTTCTCCTTCCAGTAGAGGGTTCCGCTGAATTTGTCCAGCTTGTTGTTGGGAGGTTCACAGATCACTTCACCTGAAGGGAAGACAGGAGTGCACCTGCTCAAGGTGTGGTCTGTAGCTTGACCACGAGACAAGAGTACAGAAAAACCAGCTGCGGTGACGGGGTTAGGATGTGGGCCCATCCGCACACTGCTGGTGGGGGTGTGAACTGATGCAACTTTCTGCGGAAGGAAGGAGGCAGCATGAATTCCTATGAAAAGCACACATACCTCAGACCCAGTAATCCCACTTTGGGGACTTAGTCTACAGAGATAATAGCATAGCTGGCAAGAATTTTATTGAAGCATTATTATTATTTTTTTTTAATTGAAGCATTATCTGAACAGCAAAAGACTGAAACAACTGAACGGTCAGGGGAGAGCTGAATAAATTACAAAGCATCAATTCTATGAAACATTATATAGTCATGAAAAGGAATGGTGTAAATTTCTTTACATAGAGATGTGATAAGATACTTATGATGAATTTAAGAGGTACAGAAACACTGGTTGAAGAAATCTCAGTACAGTATGATCCCACTGATTTATGCTCACGTGTCTGTATAAACAGAGAGAAAAGTGTGGATGAATACACACTAAACTGCCAGTTAACCTGACGACCCTGAGGAGGCTAGAGTTGGAGGGCAGGAGAACTTTCTTTTTTATACCCTACCTAGTGTGTCTTGTTAGAAGAAGCATGTATAAGAAATAAGAATGAGCTGAATTTCTCTCAACATATACAGCAAAGAGGCAGCTAGCAGCCATGAGCTCTTGAAATGACCATCAATTCAAAAGTTAAGTGAGAGCCCCCCAGCATTCTTGACCCCCTCAGCAACCCCCCAACCCCCCAAAAAAGTCCAGGGAGCTGCATAATCACAGCAAAAAGAAGCCAAAAAGAGAAGGCACAATTTAGATCCCCAAACCCAAGACATCTCCTCTGCCAGAAAGCTGCTTCTCCGACACTACTCACCATCAAACTTGGCAAGCTTACTGATGTCTCCCAATTCTGAGGTGATAGGAATCGCCTGTCGCACTTTCATGTTGGTCTCTCTGGAAGGAGAGTGTCCCTGAGTTCTGATTCCCTTCCTTCCCTGTAGATTCTCCCTGGGGACACCTGACCACAGCGCATCACCACCCCCAGGCATTCCTGGGTAGGTAACACTTCTACACACCCAAAGCCTTTCTTACCCAGCGATGTTCCAAAACATACAGACTCCAGACCTGGGAACCACTTTCAGAAACAAGCCTGCTAGCCCACAGGAGGAAGGAGGACTCACTGGGCATGCAACTCACCCGTCAAGTTCTGCTGTCTCTATGTAACACAGCCCATGGGGCTCGCTGCTGGAGAGGAGGAGGAGATCCGCCTAGAAAGAAAACCTAATGAGAAGGCCGAAGACCCAAACCTCCACCCCGATGGACTCTCTGATGATCCCTCCTCCCACTAAGCACTCTTGGTCTGCTTAGCACCAAGCACATGAACAGCTAGAAAGGAGGCATATTACTATGACACAGAAGCTCCTCACTCAAGAAAGTTTCCTCCCAAGAGTGTTTAAGAGGCAATCGTCAAAAAAAAAGAAGCAATCGTCAACAGGAAACACTCGTTCCTTTCTGCAAAGAAAAAAAAAAAGGGAGAGCCCTGTAGGCCTAAAGGGGCACCTGGTCCCTTACCGCCACAAACTGGTTGTTTTCTAGCTTGATAATATCACCAACACAGACATTCATCCACTGCTCCTGCTGGAGGCTGAGGCAACGAGAAGATAGAAAAAAGGCCATCAGTAGTTAGAGAAGTTCCCAGGGGACCCTCTTCCTTTCCAAGGCCCTCAGTCTTCAACAAGCACTCACATTCCATTGATCAGCACCTGAGACTGACGGTTATTCACTTGGTTATCACTCTTGTGGCGGAACTGAAAAGAGGAAAGCAAGGTTAAGCCACCTTCTCCTGCTCCAAGGGACTGAGATGATCAGTGGGATGCAGAACATGCTGGGTACCACCATGTATACACCCACTCACATGTCTACTCCCTCCCTGACTCCCCCACCCTACTCTCGGTCAAGATATCATAGACCTAGTGGACCAGGTAAGGGATGGTAAGGTCACTGAGGAATTCTGCTAAGTGGAGGAGGGTGAGTTGCAGGGCCGGGGTGGGGGGTGGGATGGAGGGTGAGGAAACAGCATAAGAAGGAAAACAACTCACATAGTCATCAGTGGCGTCTTTAACAGCTGTGATGGTGAGGACAAGAACCAAAGGCACAATGGTGGTGAACCAGGACAGGGAAGAGATCTGCGGGATCAACTGAAAAAAAAGGACAGAAAACACACACCTCTGAGGTCCTGTCCTCGGCTCCCCCAGACTTCTCTCTTCCTTAACTTTAGTTGGCATTGTGAATTAATTGCAAAGGGTCTAAATTTACCAGAGGTCGCTTACCTGCAGGATGAGAAGGAACAGGAAGTAGGTATTGGCCACTTCCTGGAACTGCTCAAAGAGGTTGACAGGCAGGAAGGTGAGAATATTGTACTTGGAGGTCTTGATGCAGTTACTCTGTGGAAGGGGGAAGAAAAGATCATGAGGTGCCCTCCAATGCCAACCCAGAACCAGATTGAGGCTGCCCCCTCCACCTACCCTTTTCAAACCTCTGTCCCCCAAAACCAGGAGGTATAAGAGGAGGAAAAAGGAGGAGAGAAGAGAGTCTCATGGGGTCAATGGTCTCATGGGATCCCGCTTCATTGACAGGTCAGGGCATGAAAAATTCAGCAGAGCAGCAGATGAAAAGTGGCAAGGAGCCTGCCTTCCCCTCCCCCAAGCACCCTCCCACAGTCAGCCCTCCACCCCCACCCCGGGACAGACAGGATGCACCTGTCCCTCCTTCCCAACCCAGGAAGAGGGCACAGGCGGTCCAGGGCCTCTCACCGCATACTGGAATTTCTCATTGTATTCTCGGTCATTGGCCCGTGCCCTCCTTTCTTCTTCTGCAAGAGAATGATGCCACAGTCAGGAGCAGACTGACAAGGCCCAACACCTTGTCAGGCCCACCCCACTCTGAGGGCCCCTGGTTCCTTCCACGGCACACAGTTTTAAGGAGTTTAGTGGCACATCTGAGGTGTCACTGAATTCTTCCCTCTGATCCACCTCTCACCACCAGCCTGACCACTGGGCTCTGCAGGTGTGACACGCACAGGACAGGATGCCACTCTCCTTTCCTCACCAACAACCATCAAGGTGTCCGAGCGGGGGTACCCGGTTTCTCGCCCCCATCCCTTTGATTAACGCTGTAGGAATTAACGGTCCTGGGAACCTCCAGGGGAATAGCAGCTGAAGACACTAAGCTCCCTTGCCCCAGGACCCCCTCAGCTTCAGCCCTGGTACTGCCCTCCTCCTAACCCAGTGGGTGGGGTGGGTGGCAAGACGGAGGGTCATGGTGCCCTGGAACTGCTTTGCGGCAGCATCCCAGCCCCACGTGCAGTCCCCCCTACAGACGCCTCTGCTTGTCACATGTCACCAGCAGCGGCTTCTGACTGGCCCACGATGACATCATCTTATTTCAAAGCTCGTCTTCAAGTAGGAGAGGGGGTGGTCAGGGATATGGGTCATGCAGACTGAGACAGAGATCAAAGAGGGAAGAATGGGATGTAGTTGAAGCACTCGCTCTCTCACCGTAACCTTTCTTGTGCTGTCTGCACGTATTTCCCCTAAAACAACACATCTGTCACTAACCAAGTGACTAAAGAAATACACCTATTCTGAACACCCCCAGATCTGGGACTGCAGGCACCAAGCTCGGGTCCCAGAACATAGAGGTGTCCTAGATGGGCTCTCCAGCCCATCTCTGGTGGTCAGGACCACAGGCTGAAAAACAGGGTACCCTGGTTAGGCAGTCAACATCAGGACAAATCTGTCCTGGAGTATAAAGCAGCATTCCAGATGCCTTCCCTTGCTCTCCTCAGCGCCCTGCAGAGCACACTGCAGTAGCAAAACCTCAGACCACAGCATCCTCTGCCTACCCATCCTCTGCCTCCCGGCCTGGTCACTTTACTCCCAAAACTTCCCCAAAGGGGACCCGTCAGGCTGAGTCGCCTGCGCAGTCAACAACGAGCATGCAAAGGGAGCGGTAGAGCCAGACCCTTCGGAGCCGGGATCTCTGGGTCTGCAGAGGATATGGGAACACTGGGGGGAGGCCGGAGACAAGCGAATGGGGGGGGGGGGGAACTAAGGGCTCAGGAGAGTTGCCAGTAGCTGCCTCCCGTTACCTGTCCCCCAGGAGGGCTTCTTTCTGCTCCAGGAGGGGGGCGCCCCGGCCCGGGCCCACTTCTCGGGCATCTCCTTGGGGACCGTCATGATCCCAGTTTGAGCGGGGGAAGGGCGGGCTGTCTGTCGGTCTGTCCTCGGCCTCAGCGGCTCCGATGGGGCGGCCCCGCGGGGAGGCACAGGAGCTGCGGCCGCTCAGAGGGGAGCCCCGGCCGTCGGGCGCGCGCCCCACCTGCAGCCCCGGCCATCCTCGCGGCCGCCCGCACCCGGCGACGCCACGCGCTCAGAAGCGCCGCCGCCGCCCCCCATGCCCCCCGCGGACGCAGGCGCGCTCTGAGTGGCCCGGGACTCTGCGCTCATGTCCCAGGCTCCGCCCCCACCCGCTCCCCCGACTGCAGGGGCAGCCGCCTGCCAGCGCGCCGCGTAGGCGAAAGCCAGCACCGAGCCCCGCCTCCCTCAGCCCGGCCAATGCGGGTGAGGGGACTGCCAGCGTCGTCCAGGGCAACCGCTTTCATCCCACCGCCTCCCACCCCCACCCCCGCCCGCAGGAAAACAAGAAGGACCGGGATGGTTGGAAAAATGAGGGGAGGAGATGAAGTGCGAGGACAGAGGGGTGACGGTGGGAACACGCAACCCGGACTCCCCAAAACAGAGAACAGGCGCTCCAGGTGCCCCAAGATAAAAGTCTATGTGTTTGGGGTGAAGGGCAAGTCCTCAGCAAGCTCCTGGGGGAAAAACCAGCTTAGAGAATCAAGGGGAAGAATGTGGTTTCCTAAGGCTTCCCCCAGGATGGACAGAGGCTGCAATCTACCCTCCTTCACACCCATTACCTGCCGTCCGTCCTCCCTGTGCTCCCTGAGCCATAAAAACACCCACCCCAGGCAGGCCCAGGGACCCCCGAGCCCCGCCTTCGGACTGTCTTACCTGGGGGGCGCTTCTTTGCGCACAATGCCATCTCACCCAGCAAGGTCCCAGCAATCCCATGGGAGACCCTGGAGAAGGTGACACAGGCGTGAGGCCAGGAAGCTGAGGGCAACCCTTCATTCCCCTTTCCAGACTCCTCCCCAGTGCCCATCCCGCCCCCTCCCCAGCCTTCCCCACGAACTCCACACCAACTCTCTGCTCTCACTGCCCCCACAGGTCCCTGAAAAAGAGGCGACTTCCCCACACCTCCCCCGATGCCTCTGCCTTGGATAACATGGGGGGGACTGACACTTAATAAAAACCAAGACCTGCAGGGAAAGGAAGGGCACAAAAAGAAGGGGCCAGATATGGGCAGGAGGGCACAGTTCCAAAAGAAGCCAGCCCGGGACCACGGATGCCGAGTGCTCTCCTGGTGGCATTGAGTGGGTGCCTGTGTTTACTGGAAAGCAGGATTTCCACCAAGCGGTGGGGCTGAGGGAACATGAGCCAGGAAACACCTGGCAGAGCATCAGGAAACGGTGGGCAGGCACCACCCTTCTCAAAAAGCTTATAATCTTCTCACTCCCCCCTCCCCACTACTAAGGCTTCCATTATCACCTACTCTAGGGGAGTTCACTGTAGAGGCATGGCCTTCACTTCCTGCACACAGTCCCCAAACCACTTCCTCTCAGTCTGGGACAGCTGCTCTTCTGGACCAACAAAGGGGTCTTCTCAACCCTGATGGACAGGCATCCCTCTCTCTCTCTTCCACCGCAAGCCTAGTCTAGTCAGTATGGCACTGGGTTGCAAGCTCAGGGAACATCAGATAGATTTCTGCTTCTTTCTATCTCCCCATGTTCATCCTTTCACCTAAAAAGGTAAAAGGCCTGGCCTGTAAGACACAGTCACAGAGCCTCATCCTAGCCTGACCCAAAGGAAACTGCCAGCCAGGTCCTGGGTCCTCTAGTCACCTCCTCTTTCTTTATCTGGGTGGAGAGCCTTCCTCCCCTTTGGTTTCCCTGTCTCCAGCCTCCTGGGAACACTCCTCCAGCCTGTCAGCCCCAAGAGATACTAATTGTCTGTCTGCCCAACCTCTATAATTACACACTCTGGGCAAGGCCGGCACCCACACCAGTTCTTCGTTCACTAAGCTGGACTCCATTCCTGAACCCCAATCAGGTAATACTTCTCTGACCCTCCCCGACTCTGGCAACCAAGGGTGCCTGGCTCAGGAATAAAAACCTCTTATAAGATGCCAAGCCCTCCTACAGGGCCCCCAGCCAGGGTCTCCACCCAGTCCACAGTATGAGTCATAGGAGGTGGGGCATGAAGAGAGAGGTTAAGAGAGAGGATGCAAGGGTGGGCATCACAAGTTCCACAGCCAGCCCCGCCCTCATCTAGAAGCACTCTCAGCCCCAAGACCTGGGTTTGAGTCCTAAGAAAGAGTTAATGAAGGAGCGGCAAGGCTCTCAGGAGTCAGGAGCCTGGACACCAACCAGGAAAGTTGTTTTACCTCTGAGACCCTGGGGAGACTGAAAGCTGGCTTGGCCCCAGACTTCACCCCCTCTGGGGGGCCATAATAGGAAGGAAAGGGCGGAGGGAGACCTGGGAACAGGGACCCTCTCTCACTGCTCCTTCCCAGTCTCACACGGCCTAGGTTTTCTGAACCCAGGCCCATTAGCCACGTCGCTCTGCCCCGTCACCCTGCCCCAGCCCCCTCTGCAGCCACATTTGGGATAAAAATAGCCAGCTCTGGGAAGAAGGCAGTGCTCCATGGAGGAAAACCGGCTCCTCCTTTAGGCCTGGCCCCTGCTCTCCTCCAGCCCAAACCCAGGAAGCCTGACCCCTTGTTTCAGAGGAAGCTGGCCAGGGATTTTTTTGGGCAGGTCAGGGAAACAGAAGGGAAGGGAATCCAGGACCCCCAGCTCACTTGACACCGACACCTGGCCGCTTTCCGTCGTCAAGGACAGAACCCGGGACTCACTCCCAGCTCCCAACTCCCAGCGCTGCCACCTCTCGAACCTCGGTTTCCTCACGCAGAGACCTCCACCTTACAGAGACAAAGCCTACTATTCCCTAACTCCCTTCTGCAGGTGCCCAAACCTTCGGACCCCGAGTACGCTCCTGACCCCCAAAACTCTCTGGGCGGTTCTGAGCTCGTCCGCGGCACCCCCGCGCCCCTGCGATGGTCTCCCGCGCCCCGCCGGCACCCCACCCTCCCGTCCTGCGGACGGCCTCCTGAATCTCGCCCACTCTCAGGCACCCAAGACCATCTTCCCTCCAGTCATCCAGTCCCTCCCCTCCACCTCACCGCAGCTCCGACTCCCCATTCCCCCCCTGTCCTCCCCGGCCACTCCACCCCCGAGTCCGCAGCCGCATCTCCCCCTGCCCTCCCGGCGCCGCGCTCGTGGGCTGCTGCCCCCGCCTCACCTCAGCGCTCAGCGCTCGGCGCCCGCCCCGGCGGCCCCGTCCTGCCCATGCCGGGGGCTGGGGCGGGGGGCGCTCGGCTCACCTCCCCGCGGGCTCCCGCCCCCCCAGCTGCAGCCCCTCTCCCCCCGGGGCCTCGGCCCGCTACTTTGTGTCAGTTTCGGCCACGGCGGGGCGGAAGTGACGGAGGTGGCGGGAGAGGGCGGGGGGCGGGAGGGGGTTTTGGGGAGGGGTGAGGAAGGGGGAAGGCGGGAGCCGCCATCTTTGTGAGGGGCAGGGGGAGGGTCTTAACCCCGCGGATGCTCCGCACTGCGAGGCCGCGATCCCCGCCCCACCCACTCCCAGATGCATCCATCCCAGGTCCAAGAAAATTCAAAGTCTGGAGGCGAGATAGCTCTGAGATTTTTTATTTTTAATTTGAAAAAAGGGAAAGAGAAGAACGCTGCTTCTCTGCTAAAAGAGACCTCTCTTCGTCGGGGAGGTGTGTGAGAGCTGAGGACGCGCTGAACGATGAGAATTTTCCTCCGCGCCAGCTGGCCTTTACTCCTACTCTTTCCGCTCGGGGCCTTCTGCCCCTTCGCCTTCTCTCCTCGCCCTGGCTCATCTCTTCTCACTGTAGTTCAGCCTCTCCTTGAATGACACAGCCCGGAATGCCTAGGTATGGGGTCGTGCCTCAGTTTCTCCATCTTGCTCTCGCAGTCTCCAGCCACTTGACTGGCTGTGTTCTTCTGGCGGCCCTCCCTTTCCCGTCCCCCCCACCCCGTCCCACGCCCCCTTGGTGGAGGCGGTTTTCCTACCACCACCCCTAATTACTATCTGCGGGGTGGCTGAATCTGGGCAAGGCGCCCCAGTCAGCTTAAAGGCGGGCGGCGCTGAGGCTACGCGAGCTGGGAGTCAGTCAGTGGGGGCCAGGCTTTGGAAGAAGTCCCCTGGATTATGCCCTGCACAGGATGGTCGGCCCCCACCATCCTGCAGATTCCCGAAGCCTTCCCAATCCGGTTTCCAGGGTGCGCACCCTCTGGCGGCTTTTTGGAGGAACTACGTTCTTGGAAGTCCGGGGTCCGAAAACCTGCGTGAACAAAAAGGGGATGAGAAGCCTTAGTCTGGTACCTGAGCCTCCTCTTTCTCCCTGTCCAGGCATCCTCCCCAGTTTAGGAGGAGGAGATGCCTAGATGAGTACACAGAGAAGCTGCCCAGGGCCTGGCGTATTAATAAAGAGAAAGAACATCTTGTCACCAGGCATGGGGTATCTGGCCCTCTCAAGTGTCCATGAGGGAAGTGAGGACTGTCTTGTCAGAGTCACAGCTTACTCTCCTGCAGCTGAGTTGCGGCCGGACTTACCGAGTCTGAGGCTTCCTGTAGATCCTGGGATGGCTGAGTCCTCAGGATTGTGCTGTGCCACCAGCAGCTGGTATGTGGCTGTGCCAAGCGTGGCCCCCGCTAGAGGGCCCACCACAGGAACCCACCACCAACCATTGCCAGCACTGCCAGACAAGAACAGAAGGGAGATAACAGGGTGAGTCCCTTTGACTTCCCTCTGAAGAACTGAGGGTATTTGGAAAACTCCCTAAAGCAGTTCCTGGGGTGAGAGACACCAGAAAGAGTGTTGTGGCACCAAAGCATAGCATTTAGAGAGGAGGAGACCCCAGGAGAGGTTGATCTTTAGGGATTATCTGATACATACATTTTGTCAAACACAACCTCTAAATCTTACTGTTTCAACGAAAAGAGTAAAAGGGGAGAAACGGGACAAGACATAAAGGGAGAATTGGGGCTTAGACGAGGCTCAAACTGTCCTGAGATGCCAAGAGAACTCTATTTAAAAGGAGAGGGCTGGAGACCCAGGGTCAGAGCCCTTAGCAGAGGGATGTGAGTGGAAGGACAGCACCAGGGGAGGCCATCTCCTACCTGAAGACTTCAGGGCCCCAGCCAGCTACGTAGGTGAAAAGCCGTGGGCCGAGGTCCTGGGCGGGGTTGATTGGGAGCCCACAGTTGGCACCCATGGATAGCATGATGGCCAGGATCAGTAACCCCACTATCACAGCCTCCAGACCTGCAGGCACTCCCTTGTTCTGTGTGTTCAGGATGGCCAGGACCCCCACCATCAGCATCCAGGTGCCTAGAACCTTGGAGTCAGCAGAGGCAGGGGTCTCCTATCAGCCGCCAGGTTCTCCACCTGCCCTATCTCACCCAAACACTCCAGGCTGCCACCCCATGGCATCTGGCTTTGTCCAACTCAGGCAGCTGGGGAAGGTAAGATGCAAAGATAAAGCCAGCCCCACAACCCACCCAGAGCCTAAACAGCAGGCCGAGCTTCCAGGGGGCAAAGGGCAAAGGTGTGGCTTTCCCGGGTCACCCTCTTATGCCTACCTGATCCAGGAAGCCATTGCTCAGAGATAGATAGGGGGCAGGGTAGGTAGCAAAGATGGAACCCATCTCCTTGGGACCAGCCACTGTCAGATTCCCACCTGTGTAGTTCTGTAGGGCATCTGTAAAGTAGGGGACACCCAGGATTTCCATCTTTGCTCATTCAAAACTGCTCTAAGGCGTCGTTAACCACACACAGGTGCCCCCAACCTTGTTCTCTGTGACCATAATAGAGAGCATAGGTGACTCCAGAGGCACAGAAAGCAGACAGCAACTGCACCAAGGAGTAAATGAGAAACTTGGCCCAGGGGAGGCGTCCCAGGAGGCACATGGGCAGGGAGAAGGCTGGATTCAGGTGGGCCCCTTCAAGGATCAAGAAAAGAAAACCAGCATCCATTAGGTGTCACCATCAGGCACTGTCACCAGTAACACTGCTATTCCTCCCCACAACTCTTAAGTCAAATGTTACTATTCTCATCACATACGTTAGGAAGTTGAGACTGAAGGAGGTTAAGCGACTTGTTAAGGTCATGCAGTGAAGCCAAGTTCAAACCTGGGTCTGTCTGCTCTCTATTACAGTACTTGATGCAATGTGCATCTGAGGAACAGGCTGGTGAAGTCTTAAGCAAAGATGAACCCCAGAGGGCTTAGGTAGGAGACACAAGATGAGTGCATTTACCCATGATGCCTTGCCATAGAGCTCTGTCTACCTGAGCGGAGGGTTAATGTGAAGTAGGAGGGCAAGGGAGAAGGGACTGGACTGGGCCAAAGGCATATCTCAGTCCAGGGCACTGGTCAAGCTCAAGGAGATAATGTCTGTGAGTCACCAAGGGATCCGCCTTTTCACTGTTACCAAGCTCAAGTGCACATCCTACCCTGTCTGATGACCAGACTTCACCCTCCTCACCTGAGACGTTACCACTCACATAGATGGCTAGCATAACACCCAGAGAGCCAGCCAGAAACATGGTGAAGAAGTTTCCTTTGGTTCCTCCACTGGTGACAGCCTGGGCTGAAGACCCCTGTATGAGGAGCTGGTGGAGAAAAGAAACATGAGGAAGAGGGAACCAAGAATAGGGAGCCTGGGAGACCCATAGGAGAGAGAGACTGGGAAGAGAGGGGAATGGTCAAGATTGATGAACGGACTTGAGGGATCAGCAGGAAAAAACAGAAAGGGGAAAGAGAAAAGATGGGAGAAACAGAGGGAGAGTAAAGGAGGCGAAGGAGGATAAGAGATGGAAAGTGACAGGAATAAAAATGGGAAGGTAGGGGAGGAATAGAGGAACAAGAGCAGGAAATAGAGACTGAGGGAGGAGCTGTCTTCTAGTGCACCAGAGGAGGAGGTAAGCACACTAGGAGGAGCCCACCTCCCTTCTTTACTCCCCCTCAATGAGACTGCCTGCCACGAGCACAAACACAGCCAGAAACTCCACCAGGCACTGCCGGGCCAGGAGGCTGCGGATTCAGAGCCAGTCCTTGACTTCAACCAGAGACTGCATGGAGACCATAGTGGGGACACTCTGTCCTGGTCACCGCTCTCTCCATCTGCATAGACACACTGCTGCTACACAGCTCCTGCCTGTCAGGGGCAAAGATAAGGAAAAGACTTTAAAACCAGTTAGCTCAGTTACTGACCAGCAGCTGATGTCTGTCTGTGCATGAGTGGAAGCTCGGGAGGACAGAGATAACAAAAGAATGTCCGTGGGCAGAATTCGCACAGCCAGGGTCTGGAGTTTGCCCAGTCTGTCTCCTCCATCTCGGCCTCAGGCCTCCCAGGAGTAAGGAGCCTCCTCTTATGCTGACAAACTGCGCGGAGTAGCCTGCTTTATGTGCATTAGCTCTCTTGGTCCTCAAACCAGCTGTGGAAAGTACCACTCTACTACTGTCCTGAGGATGAGGATACACTGTACTGAGAGAGCCTTAGACTTCCCCAGGCCACACGGCTAGTTAATAGCTAAGCCAGGTCTTCTGACTCTCCGTCTGATACTCCACAGTGCCTCTCCTGTGGAATGTGAAGTCTTTCCCCCAGCCATTTGGATGCTTGGAAAATTTAACATGCATCCAGGAAGACTGGATTGAAGACCATAGGCTGCAGGAATGAAACCCTCATCAGGAGCACTTGTGGTCTCCCCTTGACTAGAGAATGCTCTACCTTGTGTCTCTAGCCTTGGCTCCAAATGAGGGCTTCATGGCCCCACTGAGCTCCACGTCCCCTTCTCTGGACGCTTGCCACTCGTATTCTGCTTAACACGTAGCCACTTCCTACTTCTTAATATTTCAAGCCTCTAAGATTCATTCAATGATGAATCAAGCTCTAGCCCCTAGGGAAACATAGTTACTGCCCTCCTAGAGCTGATGCTCTAGTAGGTGGAAGTAGACAATACAGAGACTTTTTTTTTTTCCTTTGCACCATGCCACATGTGGGATCTTAGTTCCCTGATCAGGGATTGAACCCATGCCTCCTTAACCACTGGACCTCCAGGAAAGTCCAATATACAAGTTTTTCAAAATATATTGTATGTCGTTTATGAGGTTCTTGAGAGCTGGACTGTATAACCCCAGGGGCAGGGGTGGGGGTGAGGGGCTCTAGCACAGTCCTGGGCACATCTCTGTGAAATAATACTTCCTCCTGGGTTTAGTGGATATTATGGTACTCCACCCAGGTCCCCTGTTCAGAGCCAGTGCACCCTTCCCCAGCTTCTGGGAGTAACAGACCCTGAGAGCACATGGCTTCTTCCCTCATGGGAGTGACTCCTGTGGCAGGAAAGTGCGTCAGCCAAGGTCACGTGCCCCCCATAGGGCCCAGTGAATGAATGGCTGATGCAGGGATTCAAAGACCAAGCAGAGTTTGGTAGTGTTGCACATAGACCTGGCTGCCAAGAGTGCTGGATCAAACGAAGTGGAACATGAAGTTAGATGTGGAAGAATTTATTGATAAGGGAGCACTCTCCTGGGACTTAGGATTTAATCCTGGCAAGATCCCCCTGGAATGCCGGATGAATACTCTTCTCGGACGCTTGGGGAAAATGATAGCTCATGCTAAAAAAAGTAAAAATGTATAAACAACTCATTTACGTTGATGACCATTATTGAAAAAAGGGAGAATACTCAGACCTTCTGAGGGTTTTTGGACAAAGGATCTGAATTAACATTGACAGTTGACAACCCAAATTTGTACCATGGCCCCCTGTTAGAGAAGTGGCACATGGGGCCCAGATAATAAATGGAGTCCTGGGCTAAGGTCTAGTTCAGAGTATATTCACTGAGACAGGTATCCACCAGGTGGTCACTTCCCTAAAACCTTAACATGTAATAGCAGTGGACTTCCTTTGGCGTGGCAGAACACTCATAGTGGTTTTTGACCTGTAGAGTAAGTGATGAAGGCCAACTAGATGCCTGAGACTACCCAACATCAAGAGAACAAATAAAAACAAGACCGTATCCTAGGGAAAATGGAAGAGGTTAGTGCCACCCTCCGAGACACAAAGAATAAAAGAGAGGTGGCCCCTTTCATATCACCACTTTGGCTCTTAAAAACTGGATAGATCATGACAGATGACAATGGTCTACCATAAACTTACTTAAACAGTAACTCCAATTGCAATTGTTGTGTCCCAAATGGTAACTTTACCGGGCAGTTTAATACTGCCTCTAGTTGGGAGTATGTGGTCATTAATCTGGTGAATATGTTATTTTCCATCCCAGACAGATCAGAAAGGAGGTCCACAAGCAGTTTCATACACATGGGTAGTCTAGCAATATCCACTTACAGTCTTACCCCAGGACTGTGTTAACTCTCTGGTCCTCTGTTGTAATAGAATCTGAAGGGAGCGTGACTATTTGGACATTTTGAAAAACATCATATTGGTCCACTATACAATGGACCGTTGAACAACACAGATTTGAACTCTGTGGGTCCACTTATATATGGATTTTTTTCATTAAATATATATTATAGTACTACATTATCTGCAGTTGGTTAAATCCGTGGACACAGAACCATATATACGGAGGGCTAACTATGAAATTATACTTGGACTTTTGACTGTGCAGATGGTCAGAACCCCTAACCTCTGCATTCTTCAAGAGTCAACTGTATATATAACATCATGCTAACCACATCAGAAGAGGACTAAACGAAAGTATATTGGAGGTCCTGGAAAGATACATGATGAGAGGGTGGAAAATATTCCTGTAAAGGTCGGGGAAACTGCCATACTGGTGAAATTTTCAAAGGTCCAGTGGTCTGGGACATGCTAGATATCCTCTCTGAGGCAAAGGACTGATTGTTGCACCTTATATCTTCCATCACTAAGAAAAAACACATTACCTATTTACTCAGGATTTAGGAGAAATATATTTCATGCTTGAGAATACAACTCTGAAAAATTTACTTGCTGACAGTGACGGCTGTCAACTTTGAGTGGGGCCAAAGCAAAAAAAAGGCCCCTGCAGTCATATGACCCAGCAGACCTAGTGAGACTAGAATATCTGTAGTGTGTGTGGTTTGGCAAGCTCTAATAGGAGAATCATAATGCAGACCCACAGGGCTATGGAGCAAAGCCGTGCCATCTGCAGCAGAGAAGTGTATAGCATTTGAAGAGCAGCTCTTACAGCTCATCAGGTGACCCAATAGCCAGAACTGCCCATCACAAGCGGGACTCTACCTGACCCTCTGTGTCGTTGGGAAGGGTGGTCCCGGCAAGAACACATTGTAAAATGAAAGTGTCATCTTTGGGTTAAGGCATAAGTAGGGTCAGAGAGCACAAGCTAGCAGAAAATAAGTGACCCAGACTCTCATGTCATTCAACAAGCATCTCTCTCTCTCAGCTCACATGACCCTATGGAGAATCATCTTCATCCATTTGGGCTTCTGTAACAATACCATAGACTGGGTGACTTATAAACAAACATAAATTAAACTCATAGCTCTATAGGCTGCTAAGTCCAAAATCAAGGTGCCAGCAGATTGAATGTGTGGTGGGGGCCCATTTCCTGGTTGATAGACAGCTGTCTTCTCACCATGTCCTCACATGGAGGAAGGGGCAGAGGAGCCCTCTGAGGTCTCTTCTGTAAGGGAACTAATCTGATTCATGCTCTGCCTCATGCTCTAATCACTTCCCAAAGGTCCCACCTCCAAAATACCATCACATTGTGGGTTAGGTTTCAACACATGAAAGGAGGGGGGCACAGACATTCAGTCTATGACCGGGATCCCTTGTGAACGAGGGATTAGAGAAGGAATAAGCTTGTTCAGACATGAGTTGGCATGGTATGTGGGTAAAAGCCAAAAATTGACTGCTGCTGCATTGCAACCCATCAGGAGTGGCCCTAAAAGATAGTGGTGAGGAGAGATCCTTCCAAGGACAGACATTTAGACAGTACATCTGATCATCCACTTTTTGTGGAACAAGAAGGTGAGAATATACATAGTCACAACTAGCCTGGTAGTCTGGTCAGGGGTTGAAAAGACAAAGAATGTAAGATTAGGGACAAGAAGGTCTGAGGATGAGATGTGGATGGACCTATGGGTGTAGTTCTGAAGCGTAAAGGTCTTTCAATCACACGTTAACACCCACCAAGAAAGCATCCATCAGACGTCCCTGGCAATCCAGTGGTTAAGACTCTTGCTTCCTCTGGAGGGGGCACCGGTTTGATGTCTGGTCAGGGAACTAAGATCCCACACACCTCACTGCTCAACGAAAAAAGGAAAAAAGAGAAAGAAAGAAAGCATTCATCACAGACGAGACACTAAACAACCAAGAAGGCAGAAAGACTTAGCCACTGTCCATCATCAACCACCGAGTTCTGTATGATGGATGCACTGGGTAGAGTGACTGGGGGTAGGACAGAGGTTATCCAGGGCCCAGCAGCATGAGCTTCTGCTCGCCGAGGCTCAGCTAGCTACTGCTGCTGCCAACATGCAACTACCGTTAAAAATACCAACACTAATGGGACTTCCTGGTAGTCCAATGGGTAAGACTCCAAGCTTCCAGTGCAGGGGGCCTGGGTTCGAGCCCTGGTCAGGGAGCTAGGTCCCCCATGCCCCAGCTAAGTATTTGCATACCACAACTAACACTTGGTGCAGCCAAATAAATAAATATATATAAATATAAATATATATATGTTTTAAAAATATTAGCACTGAACCCCTAATATGGTGCAATCTTTTGAGGAGAAGAAGTAGATAATTAGGGATAAGTTGGGGACACTAGATTTCCCATCACTTTTGACTGGGATTGACACATATTCCAAGTATAGGCTTGCCTTTCCTGCCCACAGGGTCTTGGTAGGGTCTTATACCACTCTATATTAGGGACCCATGTTACAGTAAGGGGGATGTGGCAGTGGGAACATGACCCAAAGATCCGCTGATCCTATAGTGCCCCACCCAGAGGCCATCAGTCTGATAGAGCAGTTTGGTGACCTCTTACAGATACAGCTTCAAGATGAAA